TAGCAGTTCATTTATTGAATAGAATCAGTGGGATTAACTAACATGTACAGAGGAATTTTATTGGTTATCCGGGTATCCATCAATCGCCAGCTTGTACTCTTGACGTCATACGGCTTCTGTCGGAATCGCACGAAGTCTGATTGGTTGGCATGATTGGCCTGCAGTTCATTGTCCAGAAACTGGAAAGCGTCGCTCCTTGGCTGGCGTTATCCCGTAGGCCAGGATCACCACAATGTCTTGGTACCGTTCGTGGATGTCAATATCTGATACTGTTGAGTCAAGCTTTCATCTCCGTTGCACTGAGTGTTGAATCGTCCTTTGTGACATGCACCTGAGGAACACCTTCCCGACTAAAGCATCTCCGCATTAGATCGCCATAGAAACTTCCATCTAAGCGCTCTCGATTCTTATACGCTTATGTTTATTGCCCCACGGCTTAAGAATTGTCTGATAAGGTGCATCAAGAGCAGACTACGAGTTACCTGTAAGGGGTAGGTCAGTTTGGAGGTTGATTCACTACCCACTCCGGTTTCTGTGTGTTCATAATAGAATAATTGAAAATATCTACCCTTATTAATACTTCGTCTATTTTCAAAAACTCAAACAACGTTAATGATTCTAGAAAAAAAGATCATATGAGAAGAAACTTGGTTAATTTTTGACAATTCCGCATACGTTTCAGTATTTGAAATATGTCAAACTAGGGCACTTCTGTCAGAATAATGCGTTTTCTTGATCGAGTGCACCGCATTACATCTATTAGTCCCGCTGATCGGTTGTTATTGAACCAGCTGGCTAGATACACGGGGAACACAGACGAAAATCTGGATGTTTGGTAACAGAATTCAAGATGACTTTAATTTAAATTTAAATACCTATTTGTTTCATACAGTCAGTTGTGTGCATTCATCGATTCAATCTGGAATCAATTTTTGCAGAAACCGGTAGACAACATGAAAGGGAGTTCGCCCGTTAGCCATTAAGTAACGATTTTGTTTCTTTCAGAGCTTATCGGTGATAGTGCTTCGCGGTTGAAGATCGACCAGTTATTAATAAACTTGACTATCGATTGCATGAAACGAAAATCATACTTCCGGAGCGAATCAGGAATCGATTGCTTTCCAGTGTCTCCGACAGTATTTTGTTCAAGTCAGTGAGACAATGCTTCACGTGAATGGACAGTCTTATTATGATTAGGTTCGAATATGATGGACACTGTATCTCCCATGAGGACAGCGTATACTCCTCGTATGGAGGCCGTTGTTATCTGTTCAATACACTCAAATGTCAATCGACCGAGAACAATTTGATGTTACGCAAAATACTTCAAGCTCTCCGACGTATAAAACACCTCGCAGATAGTGATCATCAACAGCCAAATGAAATTTTAGCAGTGATAGAGATTTCACCCACTCGAGTTGTTTACCTGCTGTATTCACCGGGCTCAGAATGAGCTTTTGAGTCAGAACAAAGTCCACTCGTATCAAGTGGGTCTATATTGCTACACTGAAGGAACCGATCGGTTGAATTCTAGAGTTGTGATTTATTTTCGACACAATAACTGAGGCCTTAAGCAAGATGTAATCCAAGTGTTGTGGCCTGCAGTCGAGTGAAACGCTTACCACACATCACATGACTGACCGTTGTGGCTTGCCACCACACGTACGCCATGCGGACCTGCTCTATTACAAGGTCGATCCGCCTCAGCGAATCGGAGGTCAGTATTGACCTGTCCGCTTTGATCGGTCTGTGGACCACCCAACGTGACGACGTTCTCCTTTTGACAACGCTTGCGCCAGTTTGGCCTACCTGCCTACTTGCGTGTTGATGCACTGCTTGCTCACCGGCCTCCTGACCGGCTGCGTTTACCTTTACATAGTGGAAATAGGATCAATAGTTGAGTCACCACTTGTCCACTTTGTTTGATTTTACGGGATACAACAAAAACAATCTTGATTATGGGGTTTTTCTGGAGGACCTTTTGCAGAATATTCCACATGCAATTTAATCATACGAGCTTTTACTGATTTATGGGCCACCATTGTTCCCCATTCCTGTTACATCAGGATTCCTTTTTATCTTCTATCGTACTTCCTTGAATATTGAGTGATATGATTTTCAGGATGAGGGAAGCGGCCAAGTAACACTGCCAAACACGCCACAACTCACGGTTTCCCCTCATTTAACGTTAGACTGTCATCTAAAAGTACAACTGATTTGAACTAAAGCAGTCTAACGGTGTGCAGCCTAAGGATCGTAATCTATTTGGTGCCGGGGTGGGGTGGGTGGGTGAGGGCGTATTTGTGGAGTAGTGTACATTCAAATCTGGATGAAGCACTGCAAAAAAATGAAAAGTAATCTACTTTAAACATCTGTTCTAGTTAAATATATAATTTATACACCTAAGCGATGAGGGTTACGGTTCGACCCCCTTTTAGGTCAGTCGGTTTCCACTACTCAAGATTGAAGTGTGTGTATAGCAGTTTATAAATTATTGGTTCCTCTTTGCTGTTGTATCGTAGATGTAAAGGGGCTTGTTGGCATCCGTTCCAAACACACAGTTACAGCCATACCAAGGGAATTTCGATTGATCGGGTGCTTTCCAGTGACTTGAATCTAACTGGCCGAATTCAGAAGGGAAATGGACATTTTAACTAACACTTACGTATTAGTAGTCTGTGTATGTGTGTGATTCTCATTATACTTCCATCAGTCCCCATTCTCAAGTCTAGTCCTCCGTTCCACTAGCGGACCCATACTCAGCAAGCACAAGACTTGTGTTTCTCTCTCCCTCTGGTTAAACGAAACCAATGATGCATATTGATCGATCAATCCCGAATGTGAACCTGGGACACTTCACATTGAAGGGTTGTGTGTGCGTATTACAGCTACGCAAACAAACTCATTTGTGGTGATCCTAGCTTTAGGGATGACGCAAACCACGAGGCGACACGTCATAGTTTCCGGACAACTGTGATGAGTCAACCGCCCCAGGTGACGCGAGCAAAGCGCCTACGCGTTACAGCTTCTAGATTACGAAATATGGACCGATTGTCCCGACCAGTCAGAAGCCACGCGACCCAGACAGAAGCTGTGCGACGCCAAGAATACGAGCACGCTATTCCTAGATGCCTGGATAGTCAATGAACTTCTTTTTTACATTTTGATTTCTTCCAAAAAAGAAATGCTACTCCTGTGGCCTTTTCTTTGAGTCTCGGTTACGTGGTATACCATCGTGCAAGTGCCAGTATGATTCAGTGTTTCTGTGGCGTTCGTGACTTATAATTCATGATCGGTGCGTACTTCAACAACTACATCAGTCTGAAACTAAACGGAATCCATGAGTTAAATTTGCCTGAACATTGTCTTCCGTGACCGTGGATCAGCTTAAAAACTAATCGGGAGGGACGCATTATACTATCCGTTAACTGCAGTCACAAACCTCTCGCCGAATCATGAATTCCATTCAAATCTGCGTTATGCTCTGCAAGAAAACGCACATTAAGCTAATCACTACTGGACTAGATAGATTTAACCAGCACTGATAAAAGGTTGTGTTATTTACCCTTCTGCTTTCCCAGGAACCCAGTCACGTCTTAATCTTTTTAACGGTGGTAGAGATTTTTCATAGTATAGTTTTATTCAACCTTTACACGATTTTCGCGTTTTTCGAGCAGTGACTATGGTGGAGTTATAACGATGCACCGTGAATACTTTCGAATAATTACACTTCCTGAGATGAAATCCCAATTTTAGATGCGTCTTGCATTATCCCTCGGTCATCTACAGCACAACAAACACAAAGTTGCTGAAATTTGCCGAGGTTCTAACTATTCATACACCCTCAAACCCGATTCATATGCAAACAACTTGGATGCGTAGTCATATTAGCTTTCCCTTGGCGATTAACCCCTACCCTCTCCCGTTTTTTGTGTTACTCTGTCGTGTTGTCCGTTGTGATTAGCAATCTTGTCTTCATTCACGTTAATTATCTCACTGACTATAAAAATCACTTTGGTTTCAGTATGTGCACGTATACAGATGCGGCGAAATGGCCATGGCGATACATTGTGCAAACCCCGTGTTCCTGTCTTCTTTATTCAAATTTGTGATGGGAAAACCGCGTTTTCAGTTACACTGATTCGCGTGGATTCTTTTCATTGGGGGAAGCTTCTAGTTTGCATGCGAGGTTTTCCATCGGAATGTATTATGGACAGGCATCCCCCAAATGGAAAAACTCGAGAACTGTACCGGAAAACAAATAATACAACAACAGGATAATTCTCGCTTCTCTACTCCATCATTGTGATCTGCATCTGGATAGAAAACGCAAGCTTCCTTGGTCTTTATCACACACTTCAAATACATTTTTTTAAACAATCTACCCTCATTTTTGTGTTGTACGAGTGGCCTTTCATTTTTTCTCACGTAACTCCTTTATAGTGTACAGAAGTATACGGATATTTTGAAGGACGAAAATACTCTAAATCCACTTGAAGTTAAGTAGTCCGTGAAATTCTGTGGTTATCCAGCTTAAACAGCTCAATTTTCCTTGAGTCGCACACTATGTGCAACTTTGTAGATCCTTTCAAAACTGAAATTGGCAACACTCAAGGAAAGTCCCCTCTCCGTTCCATTTGATTTCTTTACAGACTTATTTAACTGAAATTTTCAGAGATTGATGTTGTTTGGATTAAACCAACCTGAAAAAGTGACCTGAAAACAAGTGATAATGTTGGTGATTGTACCACACATTTTAAGCAACAGGTAAGTAACAAAATATGAGAAAAATTATTACAAATATATGCTTGAGACGGGATATTCTTCATGACAGCTTAAAAGGTTGGTCGGTGGCTTTTTTGATGCTTGCCACTTTTAATCGATAATGCTCGTTTCAATCAGCTTATGTCCATACTATGAGCAACCGCTGTCTGCCACAAACGACGAAATGTTTCTGGTAAAAATTCACTGTGGTAGGAAGTAAGGAATATGTTATCCAATATTGCTTCATTCTGCTTGCTTGGTCCAACTCGACTGTACGCATGACCGGGGATAAATTCCTGACGTTTGAAGCCCAGATTCTCGGCCAACATTCCCGTCACATAGACATCATCGATCCAGATGGCGGGGGTAAACAGGGAGCACCAGTAGAGATAAGGTGCCAAATCGGCCTCGACAATATACCCCAAACCTTCACAATAGGTCGGAAACACATTTTTCGCAAATTCTTGTTTGGTAATCACCCATTTGCTTGAGGTTTTCTTGTCTGGTCGAACCGGTTTTGCGCCCGAAGTGGCCGAACAATAAAAGCTGTTCGGGATTTTCAGGTGTTCTGTTTTTAGAAATCGAACCAGATGGAACACGTCCACAAAAGTGTCATCGTCCACTTTGATCAAGTAGTCCAGTGATTTGCAATAGCCCCGACTCACCCATTCCATCACAGTGAGATGCTTTCGTGTCATATTGTGATAGTCCTCGACGAAGTTACGTTGAATGATATCACTGTGCGTAGTAGAGAAAATAGCAAATGTAATGAGATTGGAACAGAGAAGTAATCATGTGCTGAAAAACGGTTCTTATTTTGTCTGAAAGATTCCCATCACAGCATTTAGGACAAACACAGTTTGGCGAAACAATTGTTTTTCAGTAATTCCTTCTAAAGCTGTTTACAGATTACACAAGTAATTTTAGAAAACAGATCACACATATCACCCATCATGCGTGAGAGTTTATCATACTGGATTGTTATTTGATTGGTTTAACTAAATTACGGCCTCAGGGTGACAGGATGGCAGACACACTCGGGCCATGGAAGTTGGAGTGATTGAACCAAAAGCTTTTGGGCGCAGAGGTTAGGGGTCAACTTCGGCTATTGCTAGAGGGCGCAGTTGAACATCCAGATACTTCGTGTGGGGGACACGATAAACAACTTTGAAGGCGACGTCCGGGTTTAATTGATGTCCGGTGTCGACTAAAAGGGGTAGGATGGAGTTGTTTATTGATCCGGTCTGTCCTAGTCTTAACCAGCTAGGGTGATGCTCTTTGATCCGGGTAGATAGCTGTCGTACCGTTCGATCAACATAAGATGCACCACACACGCATCGAAAAGAGTATACAAACATTGATGAGGTCAGCATCCTTATTTTGAATGTGGATCACAGGAGCACCTTCAAACACGCACCGTAACTTGGCAGCGTAGAAGGCGTTGTCAATTTCTCTGTTCAGACGTCGAAGTAGGATCACACTCAAAGCATCACCTTTGCATGGCAAACTGATGAACAAATCTTTCTTTCTCGCAGTTTGCATGGGAGTTTTCGGTATTTGTTCAATCAGATTCCTTTCGATGAAACGATCCGGGTATCTATTGTCATTTAAGTCTAATGAGCGTCAGCTCATCATCCAACGACTCCTCAGCGCAAATTGCCCTCGATCTATTGGCCAAGCATTTGACTACGTTACGTTTCTGTTACATGCTAACGAAACTGTTGAAATTGGTGTACTGGTCAGTTCATGTCGGTTTTCGGTAAAACTTTGGTACGATCTGACCATCTGACATTCTGCTAAGAGATACATCCAAAAACGATAATTGATTGTTCGTTTCGCGTTCGATTGTGAAACGTGCTACTTTGTGTGCCTTATTAAATTCCAATAACACGGATGACAAACTCTTACCCATGATTGATGATGTAACTGTGTAATCTGTTTTCCAAAGTTACCTAGGTAATCTTTAAACAGCTTAAGAAGGTTCTTCTTTTGTAATTTGTAGCGAAAGGTAGTTTTACGTTGAGCTTGAAGCATGAAATAGCCAACGAAATAAGCAGTTTGAGTCGCCATGTACCAAAAATAGTTTAAATGAGAGCGAGGTATTTAAGAGCGTATACTTTTCGGTGATCAAAACGTGTAGCTATTTTATTTCAGTCATTGGTTTATTAATTTATTTCTACTAGAGTCGCACCAATCTGGTGGTTTAAATGGAAATATGTCCAACTGATGATCAACAATAGACACGCGACTATTTGGAACCGTATCGAAAAAGTAAATTTTTTCTAAAATCGGTGCTGTTGGCCCCGGTAAACGCATCACAGGGATTCTGAAATGGCCCATCAGAAATAAATTGTCAACTGTTTTCAATAGATGGGTGTAAATGCATGGGCAAGCATCCCTCGCAAGTAGCGAAGTAGGGTTCGATAACTGTTGGCTAATGATGCACAGTCTCCCGAATGCGTGCATCAGATTCAAGGATTGAAAGATGGATCCTTCTGACAGAAACTGTCACAAATAATATTATTATATGTTTCAATGAAAACAAATTTTATGAAATTATACCATCTGAACTATCTAATTTAATGTGTGATGAGTATTTAACCCTATCTGTCTGGTAGGTGAGAAAAATTTAGTTTAACGGAACAAATAGTTCATCACTGGAAATCTATCGATTGTTTTTGGAAATTTAAAAACTGTTCAGTAGATTTTCAGGGAAAACCTATGAGAGTAGGCCGTTTCCATACAAAGTGATGTGTGTGCGTCTGTTGACATGTGCTTTGACAAGTTGGTTGGCTAACGAAATTACAAACGGCCATAATTTCCAGTGTAGCCCCATAGCTCAGCTGAGGGCTGAATCTATGCAACATTTCGAATTACACTAAGGCTTTTGATCTTTTACTAATTCGTTAAAGGGTAAATATCACTGAATTAGCGTCGAAACAAACTTATTTGAATAATAAGTATTGTACAATCGTTCATCGATGTTATTCTCCTCCTAAGATTTATGGGATTACGACTGATTAGGCATTCGGATTACTACAACTTGAGTTTGTACAGTACTCATCGTTGTCCTGGCCTGACATCCGTAAGTAATGAGGCTCAAATTTAAATCAACGAATGCGAGTACAGTCCGTTTTGTAAACGTTGTGTGAGTGAATGCTGCCGGCCACCAGGTGCTCTTCCGTTCCCTCTCTCCCCTAAAGGTCCCTCCCTCATGTAAGACAGACTTAAAACGGCGCGAAAACGGAACACACCATCTGGTTTCAACCGATAAAATTCCATCTCTCGTGTAGGAAAGATGAGTAGACATGGCGAATCGGTGTTATAAATTTCAGTTTGACGGACAACCGGAGACCGCTTGATGCGGAGTAACCAGTTCAAGAGAACGTTTGCAATAACCAGCTTTGCGTTTAGTAGTGACTACTGGTAAACGGACAGAAAGTGCACTTTGCAGATAGTATTTCCCCAGTCAACGGATTCGTTTGGATAACTGTAGAAATAAAATCACAATTAAAAATGCTACAAGCTTGCCTTCAACATTTAAAAAAATATCATCTAATTATCCTTTTGCATTGTTTAGAGACACATCTAACGCGCTTGGGTACGCTCAATTTGCGGTCTTCTTCGAAAGATCTATTTTCCGTGAGTTTATTCCCCTGTATTATGGCGACAGACGGTAGAATATTTATGTGAACTCCATCTTCACCGATTCGAATGATCTCGATCAAGCATTCTTTCAACCATATCCATTTCTGCATAACTTCACTTGAAGTTGATATCAGTCACCTCGTCAACTACTGCAGCTGGAAGTGAGTTGCAGAAATTTATCGTTATCCACGACAATCAATATAGCAAAAAGAGACCAACTGAAGTTTCTTTATTGGGAGCCAGTATCCCCTTGTACGTTTCTCCGTAAATGAAGGAAAATAATGTCGAAGCTCTTGTCCCATGTTACTCCCGAGAACCCCCCCTGCCAATGCGTACCAGGTTCTCCGTGTATATGGTGATAAGCCACTGAAAGCATTCCGGCACTCTGTAAGCGAGCTTCATATTTTGGTCTCACATAGTCAACCGACTGATTTAGTGGCAGTACGTTATACATCTTCCAGTGATTTGCAGTAGAGTATACCGCTTCACCACTATACTACAGCGTCGGTGTGACTTGGGAGGTGTGCGGAACTTCGAAGACGTAAATTGATAGTCGACTAACAGGTCTTGAGTACTTCATTCTGCATCGCAGAGTCTATCGGTTTTGTCATTGATTCAGTAAGCACGTCACTAAAACCACTAGGTCTTTTATCTCCAGTGCTCTGCACTAGGTGTTCCCCTAGAAGATAAAAACCACCTCCGAATCAGCAAGCCCAGGGTAGGGGAGACACAATTAGTAGTGTTAACTGGAAGAGCTCAAGTGTCCGTTTAACGAAACATTAATTTCAGAGCATCCCGCAGTAGTTTCTATCTTTATGACTTAGAATCATGCACCATATTTCAATATCATTCATGTAAATTAAGAGTGAGCAGCTCACAAGTCCTGGTAGGTGGCTGGACTGAGAATAGAGCCTTGACGTACTCCACCGGTGACATTATATCAAGTGGATAACATCTAACCAACACGAAAACAGAAGTTCTGGTTGATTAGGAAGTCCTGCTGCCTTCGTAGCAAATAGGCCCAAACATTAAAGATAGCCAGTTTCCCCAGTAAACGGTTGCTCGGACCTGTGTCAAATAACGTGTTGAATTTCACGAATATGATGCCCCTTCCATTTCCTCTTCGGTATTGTCTTTAGACCAATATTTGTGGATCAGGACACGAATTACCTGAGCGGGTAACGTGTTGGTGGAAATGTAAATATCTGATGTAAATCAAATGTTGAGGGAGCCAGCAAGCCACTAAGCTCTCCATCTTCTTACTTATCACACAAACCAAACTGACTGGACGATAGCTACCGGATCCGTTCTTCGCCCTACCTTTGGATAGGTTCACAATGACAGACGCCTTCCATTGCCATGGGAAAGGTTGTTGTGTAGACGACAGACTTCTCGGACCGGTCAGTGGGAACGCGAATTTGTTTGACCTTTCCTTCACAAAAATATACTGGCGAACTTGCTGCCAACACAGCTCTGTCCCAACCCTCCTCGTAGGCCACACAAGTCTACTCAAAGGTGGGGTGCGGTAACCTGCATATGTGATAGCTAGGCGGAAAGCAGTGCATAGACAGAAGCATAATGTCATGATCATCAGTTTTTTCGACAGTTGTTGAAAGGTTCATCCATATACATATACATATATATACATATATCACATAACTGTTTGCCATACTAGTTTTGATAATACAACACAATGTATGTTTTACGGAGTGAATAGTATGGGTAGCCAATGTACTCAACTGCCATTCCAAATTGTGATGGCAGCATGAAGCAACACTCACTGAAACCCGATCTCTAATGGATATTTTTGAGCATAGATAAGTGCCGCAGAACGCTCCCAGTTGAGAAAAAGTGAACCACCGACT